TCAGAACCCAGCTAACAGAAGGGTTGGAGCAAAGGACTGGTCAGGATTTGTGCACTTTCATACTGCCACTGCTACTGACATGATGTGTGACAGGTATTTCATTAATATCTCTGGGGTCCTACTTATTTCTCCTTTTCCATTAAATTGAAATAACTGCAGTGTGGCACGAAGGCAGGGTGAGATTTTATTCCTTATTGTCTGTGAGATACACCAAGCACATAATTTTCTTGCAAGTCAGTAAGACATATATGACAAATGTCATGATATCCTGAATCTTTTCAGTAAGGGAGAAAAGAGATGCCTATGCCTGACTCCCACTTCCAGCAGGAGGATCTCAGAATGCAAAGCCCAGCCCCTAGATAAACACCCTCACTCCATTTCAGTGTTCATTTGGCCTTTCAAAGAGATTTGGCTGGTTCATCTTCTTGATCTTCCCATGATCTGTGTTCCATCCTGAGGGCACAAGTGCAGCACTTGATGTTCTGAATGCTCTTCTGCTGATAAAGAGATGCTGGTTCAAGAGCATCATACAGATGTGGTTCTGTATTACCAGAACAACAAAGAAGTGCTGAACAAAAGCAAAGATCTCCATGGGAGAGAGCACAGAGTAAACTCAACTTCCCACTGGCACCCAGCCACTGCTTGGTGGAGGGCGGCGTGTGGAGGAGACTCTCAGGAGGGCTGTGAATCGGGGTTGAGCCCAAACACGAGGCAGAGCTCCACATATCCAGAAGCCTCCCTCTGAGAGATAGAGGGGCCAGTGCAGCAACCAGCTCTGCTGTTTTAGCTCCTTTAAGCCACCAGGACAACACAGAAAAGCAGCGTTATCATTGCCCACAGCTGCTATTGCAAGCCTCACAACATCTGACATGTGCCAGGACAGTGAACACTAGCACAAACAGTGTGAAAGGGGTGTCCATCATTTGGGATAAAGTGGCAGGGTCCTGCACAGCTGTCCCCCACATGTTGTTACTGGGTGTAGCTGCTCCTCCAGGGAGTTGTGCTCCAGGTTGGCCAGGGGAGAAGGGCAGCAATGACATTTGAAGACTGGCATTAGCTCTGTCCAGCCCAAGGTTGCTGAGCTGGCTGTGCAGGATGACAGCCTTGTCACCCAAGGGCGTGGGACTGGGCTCCAGCTTTTCCCACTGCACAGTTAGCAGGACTAATGGTAGTGCAGGACTAACTCTGCCATGAGTCTGGCATGGGAGCGTATGGGCAGAGGGAGGTTGGGTTTAGGGGTGTATGCATGTCCACCTGTCTTCTGCAGCTTCCTGAATCTCCACAGCAAATGGTAGGAGGAATTTGGCTAAAGTAGTAACCCTGGCAAATAGATCATTAAAAATTTTAGGCAATGCATATGTTTATAGAACTCAGTGTCTTTTCCTACCCCTTTCTTCCTCCACAGCTACAAGAGTCACTGTCATGTCCTTCCCTGTACTATGTTCAGAAATCCAGCTCTTC